TCGAGATTGAACTTGATTCTTTTATTCATCAAGTTCAACCTCGACTTGAAACCATTGTTTCGTGATCAGTCAAGCGAATTCGGGATAGGTCTATTGGCGGCCATTTATGAGAAAGGTCTGTGTGGAAAAGGAATTGTCTTACTTACTTGTCTCCTCCTTTCAACAAGTTTTCTGATCTCAGTGGGAAGTATTCCTGGCTCCAACGATGGATCAGGCAGATCAACTATCGCATCTTCGTCATCCTTTGCAGATTAAATAAAAGGTTGTTTCAGGGTTTGATCTGTCAGTTAACTATGCCATGACTTAGATTATCCAACATGTTGTTTCATAGTATATCAAATGTATTTTGGGTGCTGTCCCCTACCCTGGTAGGCAAAAATGTCCTAACATCTGCTACTATCCCTCCTCCCCACCGTAGAGATTCTAATACTTACCCCAGTAGTGCTGGTAGATGTTCTGTCAATAGTCGTAAAACAGATGTTGTACTCCTGGATGATGGATGGGTACAAACTGTTGAAATCCAATAACAAGATAAACTTGTCGTAGTAACCTGTTTGAAAAACAGAAAACCGGTAATTAATAACATGAAATCGAGTACTTCAAGAATGGTTTTCAATCATACCCAAGATAATTAAATAACAAAAGACACGGCGGCCATGTTGGAGGATATAACAAAAAAATTCATTGACAATTCTTTCGTTAAGTTCCTCCAACATGGCCGCCGTGAAAACCATCAATATGTTATTTGTCGTCTTTGTCTACGGTTTTGAACTCTGGACGACCATAATTCCTTGCAATTCAAGATGTCCACCGTATCGTCAACTGAGTAATCCATTAGTTAAAGTCCACTAAAGAAAGAGTTCGCTCAAAAATGTAAATATAACGTAAGCCATGAGCAAATGCATGAGTGCTAAGCTTGGGTTCAGGTCACTCTCACCTTTCTTTGGCTCTAGTACCAGTCCACCCTCGTAAGCGGGTTTACGTCTGCCTTTTTTACTTGTGGTTGGCTGTTCATCATCCTCGTTTACTGCAGCATGCTATGGAAGAAAACAAAAACTTATTTGCGAAAAAAATAAAATAAGATTTCCAATTCTTTCGTTTCCAATTCGTTTCCTTTATCTTTCCAATCCTTTCCTTGCCTTCTTTTCCATTCCATTCTCCTCCATTCTCTTCTATTTATTTTTCTTTTCTTTATTTATTTTCCTTTTCTTTCATTTCTTATCACAGTTTTAATCAACTTACCGTTTTCTTTCCATACGACTTGTCAGGACAAATAAACCCCCTAGAACAAAAATAATTAATAAATAAATAAATAAATAAATAAATAAATAAATAAATAAATAAAAATATAAAAAAATAAAAAAAAGAAATAATAAAGTTATGAAACGCCTACATATTCTTCTCTTCGCTTTTCTTATGATCCCTTCCTTTAAAGTCGTCCCCTACTCCGGCCTGCCATCAAGAAAACTTTATGCTATTCCTTCCAGGAACAACTCCTTTCTAAATCCCCCTCAAACCACCTCGTAATACTAATAAACCTTTTTGCCCATTAAGACATTATGAGACGGATGCCGAGGGGACAGCTATTAGAAAATTTATAGAATAGTAATATAGCACAATCAAGATTTCCTTTTCTATAACTTTACGCTTTTCAATGAGTAGCACATCTAAAAAGCAATTGAATTTAATTTGCTGGTAGTTTGAACAATATGCAAAAAAAACCCAAGACTTCAAATTATTTGAAAACGTAAACCCGCCACTCTATGTTTTATAAATTTTCTACGCGTCTGCTCACTCGGAATCACGCCAATAATTCAAGATGACCGCCGTATCACTAAAATGATCTATTGAAAAAATTAAAAAAAGATTTTAAAGAAAATTTACTTTTCACTGAAAGCATGGAGCAGTAGGTACTCGTTCCTCTCCGACCGTCCACCGAGCAGAGTACGTGCCTGAAACGAAGGATAACTTTTGTTACGACGAGTTATTGATAGCTTCATTAAAACATTCTGCGCATGTTCGAAAATTTTGGCGGGAAAACACTCGGTGCAGCTTGCATACAACGCGTTTTCGCGCGCATGAAGTAAATCTCCGTTCTATCTACTTCTGTTATTGAAGCATCTGTAAACACTTTTTAAAATTATCTTAGATGGGAGAATGACAGAAAAATTCAAAACAAATCACACTTTTTCTAGTCTCTTCTACAGCAGCTTTCAGTGTTGCCACGCAACGCTTTCTCACCTGAGTGACTACACCTTTTCTCGAGTGCATTTTATATATATATGTATTTTTTTCTGTTGTCATTGCGCCCAAGATAATTTTGGAAAGGATCTATTGTTGTTGGTGATTCTTCTTGAATATACTTGACGTTTATCGCATCTATTTATATCTAAAGGTTAAAAGTAGTTGCATTGCATACCATGACATTTCCAGCAATGCACGTGATTTGATGAGCGAGAGGAAGAACCTGTTAACAAAACAGGAAAAACAGGTTTAACAAGATTAACACGAAAAACTATGAAAGATATTTCGTTGTAAAGAGATGAAAGGCAACTCGTTGACCTGTTAAGATGGGTTTTTTGTTCAGGCACACTTACGTTTAGTTCGTACATGATACGAAGACTCAGTAGAGAATCGACCTGAAAAGAAAGTAAAAACATTATTTTAAAAATAGGAGTTCAAAGAAAATAAAGGAAAGGATAGACGAGTGAAGAAAGACAAAGAAAAAAATGAAGTGAAAGGAAGAAAGGAAGAATTTTTGTGAAAAAAGAAAAATCACAATGGAATGGAAGAGAAGAGAAGAGAAGAGAAGAGAAGAGAAAATCTTCTTTACCGTTGTGAGTTCCAACAAATACAGCAACTCCTGAGACGTGCTGTTAAAAGACGACAAATTCATGGGTCAATAATCATTCAAGCATTGTAAAGAGATCAATGTTCAATAACGGATCATTAAAATTACCTGTACATATTAGCGACATCTTCCTGATCGATCTCTTGGCGCTGTGTATTCAGCACCACACGAGAGAGCTCTGTCATCAATAAAAAAAATCAACCATTACAAAACTATGGACTGACAATCTTCTCTCTTTTCTCAAATTCATTAATAATTCATAAGCTCAACGAACAATGAGGATTTTGCATTACTGCGATTCAATGTTACACGCGATCAAAAACGAAAAATTGAGTTTGGGTGGACGTCAATCAAAAGGTTTCTATCGTTTCTATTGGTTTCTACACCAGGACTGGCGTGAATACTCACGTGAACACGTGCAAACACCGTCGTCCTTATCTCATGCTTCTTGTAGCTGTGAATTTCTCGCTCTGGATATATTTTCTCAAAAATGTCACAGGATTCCGGCTCCGAATCTCAAATCGCTTGACTACAAAGCTATCGGTATTGACTATGATTTGTGTGTGTGTTCAAGATCAGGTAAGGCAATACCAATAGCTTTGCGGTTAAGGGTTTGAAAATTGGAGTCGGAATCCCTAAAGACATGTTTAAGAAACCCTTTTGATTGAAGTCCAACGAAACTCAAATTTTTGTTTGTGATGAAGGTCTAGTTGGTCGCGTGTGACAGGGAATTGCAGTGAAATCAGGTAGATACTGGATCAAACACTAATCAAGACATGGATCAAGACAATGATCAAGACGGATTATAACTCATCACAACAGTTTTAGTTAATCTAACAATTTATTTATTTATTCCGTCTGTAAACGCTTTAAAGGTGCTGACACACGGTGCAACATTGCATGCAACATTGCACGCCTCACTGTTGCAGCGTGTGTCTAACAGCCAATCAGCTTGCACCAAATTTATAACTGCTGACCAAATATCTTAACATAGCAGGCTGACACAAGCGATGTTGCGTGATTTTGTTGCAATGTGTGTCACCCCGATTTAAACTTGTTGCTTACAATGTTGCGTGTAATGTTGCACCGTGTGTCAGCACCTTAAGACTCTGTGTAATGCGTTTCTAAGAACATTATATTATTATTAACACAAAAAGTGTTAGAAAGAAAAAAGGAAAGATGGAAGGAAGCAAGTAATAATAAAAGGAAGGGAGGATGGAAAGAAAGATGCATTGTTTTTTGGCGGTAAAGTTGTATTCACCTTTAAGATCATAGCTCTTGCATCTAATGAGCTCCCTTGACGAGATCTTGACGTCACACATGAGACGCCCGCACGTGATATTGGGGTCGCCATGGTGACCCCCACCACCCTTTCCATGAGTATAGATCTGAACAAAAAAAGAAAATATAACCTTAGAAACGAACAACACCACAAGGACAACATCTGACAAGAGTTCTTTTCTCGTGAGAGACTGGAAAAGACTGGAAAAGACCCAATATGCACAAGAGACAAAACGTCACCCCTTTCCATTTCAGGAAGCAAGAGTGACATAGCAGTGAAAGCGCTAGCCTCTCAAAAAAGCGGCCTGGGTTCAAGTCCCAGCAGGCTTGGTGTCATATGTTAGTAGAGTTTCTTGGTGGTTCTCTCCTGTGCTTTTTTTTTTTTTGGAACTCTGCTCATTTACTAATACATTCATGATCATTCACTTGGTGACGACAGGACAGAAAAACGGTTTTTGGCCTTTCGCCATAAGGACAGCTTTACGTATTTAAGCACAATATTTTGTAAACACGTTCTTTTGGAGCCTAATAGCAAAATATCAAATGCGACAAAAATTTATTGAATGCGTATTTGAGATATAAGGCCGTGTACTTTGGGAGAGGTGATATTTTGATCAGCAGAAAAACTGACATTTTCGTGAATACTAATAAGTAGATTTACTCTAATTCGACAAAATTTCGTCACAAGTTTCGGGCAGCAGTGACACAAATGAAACGCTTAAAAATTTGGAGTGTTAAACTCAGGTAAGTAAAAAAATCGTGAAAGTAGCGGGCTTGTCGTTTTGCTGCCCTGTCCTTGGTGACAATCCATTATCTAAAGTGGGGTCCCTGTGTTTTCTACACAAACAGAAAAATATTGTATGGGTTACCTTTGGCATAATGGCACGTTTTAAGCGGCCAAGTCTTGACCATTGAGGAATCTATGACAAAAAAAGATTCAATAGATTTTTTTTTTCAGTCCGTGAAATACCGCTGCGTTTCTTGATTACAGACTCATTTACTCAGGTTTAGCCTCGTATCAGTGTCTAAATAATCACAAATATAAAACGGTAAAGTAAAGAATGCACAACTTCAACAATACAACAATTTGAAATTCCACGGACCTTCACTGGAACACGTGAATATTCTACATAAAATTCGAGGCTAACCCTGAGCAACAGGGAATACGCCAGTTTCACATTCAATGAATACCGCTGTTTTTGAAGACTACAGACTCATTTGAACAAGCTTAGCCTCGTTTATAAGTCAGCTATTGACAGATACCATTAGAAGTCTGTAGGATTTCAAAACATTGCTATTGTTGAAGCTGCACATTCTTTACATCAAACTTGACATTTGCAAATGATTTACTCTTAAGCGAGGCTAGGCCTGTAGGGATGAGTCTTCAGTCTTAAAACACAGCGGTATTTACGGAATGAGATAAGGGACTATTTGATTCTGGACAACTGATGTCTCTAGATGATTGACTGAGAGTAAAAAGGTGGGATTAATTTACTTACTTTACAAGCGTTGATTCTGTGCATCAGAATGTCCATGTCAAAACCATAGATATCGTGACCCTAAGTAATAAATATATAAATAAATGATGACAAATAAGGAAAAGTTGTGAAATAAGAAGTGAATAAGGAATGGGTGAATGGAGGTAAAGGAGAAATGGAGAAATGATACGAGGAAGAAAGGAAAGAAGGAAGCAAGAGGGCAGGAAGGCAAGGAGGCAAGGAGGCAAGGAGGCAAGGAGGCAAGGAGGCAAGGAAGCAAGCAAGCAAGCAAGCAAGCAAGCAAGCAAACAAGGAAGGGCTTAGAAATGACTTACAGATCAAATAACTTTGAAAGTCCTTGAAACGTATTGGATCTCAGCTCTGTAATATTGTTTTGGAAGATCCTCCTATATGATGAGGGAAGAATTGGATGATGAGTTAA